CTGAAAACATCTTGGAATTTGTTCTCAAATGCTTTACTTGACATTTATTGCTTTTCTGCTCAAGTAAAATATATGCAGTAGAAATAACATGTGGTTTCATGGTAGGGGAGGGAAGGCAGGGGAGGGAAGGCAGAAGATCAGTGTCAGACTGATGTATCTATCAGTCTTCATTTTTCTTTCAAAAAGTTTCCATTGGCTCTTTTAAAAGACTTCTAATCATCAAACTCTTGGCAAGAACTGAATCAGCAAGATAAATTATCTACGTTGTTTTTATAAACGCACACACACACGTGTTTATATGCATAGATATGCTTGGTATCTCCTTGTCCTTTTCCAGCAGGATTGCTTCATTAGGTTCTCTGCTACTTAGCTCAAACAGTAGTCAAAAACCTTCAGAAGACAAACCAAACTGACTGCTTAGGTTTCAGTCAAGGTAAAGCAATCAGAAATGAAGTAATATATGAACTGAAGGTACTCGAATACTCTCAGGTTTCCAAGGCTACAACTGACATTTAGAGTGGCTCTCATTTGTGTTAAAATTTGCTGGGGAAAGGACCCATTCCTCTCACTGCAGGTGTTAAGAACTTCAACTGTTAATGTAAAGTTATTATTTTAGTATTCAGTTCTAAGTCCGATCATGCCAAGTGGTACTTATCTGTTGTAATGCAAGCGAGCTGATTTGAAGAAACTGAAAAGAGATCGCCTTTTAAATTCCATGAAATAAGTGGAAAGAGGACTATATCTATGCCAGTTTATCAAAATAACATTTCATTTATGGAATCAAAATCTTCCAGGGCGCATTCGAAATCCACATGATGTCTTGAGTGCTAAAGTTTTCATGAGGATCTGTACATTAGCAAATAAATAGGCAGTGTAAGAATACAAATATTTGGCTACAGGTGTAGTGGTAAGTAACACACAAAGACTGAAGCTACTTTACCTAAGAGTAAGAAAAGAAACTGAGTTGGATTCAAAGCAGCTGGTTCAACATCGTACCAAAGAAGAGACAAGCAAATGTGGAGAACTAAAGTAAACACAAGCTTTTAAGATATCCAGCAAAGTATTTGCCCTGCAGTAGCAAGGCCCTAAACTTTCAGGTGCTGCAGTAAGAGCAGCCAGTTGATAAYAACAGCCCCAAACATCTCACAAGCCTCTGTCCAACAGGGCTCAAGCACCGCACACCAGCGCCCGGCTCCTGGTCGGAGCACACGAGGAGTGTCCTCATCTTCACCTGCCTTCATCTCTACCTGCCAAGCAGTACATACCTCACACRGCCTTGGGGATCAGGGGAGGAGAGCCATGGCTAACCCTTAAATAAAGGCATTTTGGAAAAAAAAAAATTAGAAAAAAAGCAAGTGTGTGCATCTGTGAGAACTGAGGCAGATGAGCGACACTGCTGAAGGAGGCCGGGGCTGAGGGGCAGCGGCCATCTCTGTGACAAACAGCGTGTTGGGCTTGCAGAGAAGCTTTGCGAGAGTCAGGCCCAACGTGCGTCAGCCCTTGGGCTCAGCACAAATCAGTGTCCCGCTATTCACCACTTCACTTTCACCGAGAAGGTATCAGTCGATGACTTTAAAGGATATTCAAAGCAAAATGGAAAATTTGATTTCCCTTTCTGCTGTCCCCTCTCACCCCCCAAAGAGGGAACCATATGGCAGCATGAAGCATCATTTTTTACTTTCTTCAGAATTCATCGAACAAGCTTTCCAGTCATACGGCTGACAGTTTAGCCAATCTGTTCTTTCTACAATTTACATTCCTGCACGAAGAAATTCTCATGAACATCTATGCCTAATGTGCCCTCTGTTTTGCTCTTCCTGAAACTCTGCATTATATCATTTTTCCTTCTGTTTCTCACTGTGCTATTTTTTCCCACTCTGCGATAGGTTATCTCCATCACATTCACCCATGTTTCTGCCGAATTCCTATTGATTTGTCTTTGTGTCTCACCCACAAACTTTTTCTTCCTGCATTCCTTTTAGTCCACTTCTCACATTCTTCCTACACATATGTACTTTAAAAAAAGAAATCAAGACTTTGGAAATTTGTAGTCCTGTCTGGACCTACAGTTCTACGCAGTTCTCCCAAGATCAAACAAATCAGCAATGTTCTGGGTGCTGCATTTCCTCTCATTAACACAGATATTAATTTTTAAACTAGACTCATTTCCATGCATTATATTTTGCCCTGAACTCTGTTCTTCAAAGACAATTTTAATGTCCTTGGGTTGACCTGTACTTCCACATTGGTGGGCATTTGATATCAAGGTTTCCCTCACTGAAAGTTTGGAGCTACAAAATTCGCCCAGTAGCGCTGGCTTTGGTAGCCCACACGGGCCTGCGGCAGCGGGAAACCTTTCTCACAGAAAGGGTGTGAATTTGTATTTTGCAGTTGTCCCAATGTCCAGTGATCTTGGCAAGCCCATGTATGCTGTTGATCTTTTGAGGATGATACTAAAGCTTTGTGKTTTTTTTCCTCCTGTTCTTCCAAACTCTCACCATCACTTTCCTTCTTTGTCTCTACCAAACTAGTGTTCTTGCTCTCCAGCAAGTGCTCTTTACCCTCCTTTAAAAATTCTGAGCTTGCTGGGACCCTAATCCTCCTCACCCTTTACGTGTACACTAGGAATAAGAGGAGGCTACTAAAGAACTGCCAGGTTCTTCTCTCTCCATGAGAAGCAAGCAGCCTAGGAGCAGTGACACTGCCTCACTGGGTGACTTTCCTCTGCTAAATTTTTCCCAATTCTGACAACAAGATTTAAAAAAAAAAAAAGCTACATTTTGAACACTCTGCAGGAATCCCACCTAGGATCTGGAGAGCACATGCTTTAAGCCTTAGTCACCTATTCAGTACTGACACACTTTAGAAAGAAGCAAGCCTATCTATCCTTAAGTAATGCTAATAATAGGTTGCACAGGCAATAGATAAGCACCTCATCTCCTTTCTGTTTTCCAGGCTGCCATAAAGSTACACTGGGAAATCTCAGAGGCAAGTGATAACGCAGTGAGAGGAAGTAAATAATGCCATACACTAGAAAAAAAAACAYAGAGAAGCACAAATTTTTACACCTTCTGCTAAGATGAATGTGCTATGAAATAATGGGCAGTCTCTGCTAGGAGGAAAGCCACTTCAGTGCCTTCTGCACTGAAAATTCAAAAATGAACTGAATGGGTACTAAAACATCCAGAAGAACCATAACATTGAAAGAAAGTCTTAGATTCATCTTTACCAGGACTTTTTAACATAAAAAACTCGATGTTTTCCCTCCAATGGGGGACCTACCAGTTGATACTCAAACCCCAAAACAGCCCATGAAGATGGACACGACTATGTTGAACAGGCTCTCCCGAAACCTCTTTCACTGTAAAACCTCGGAGTCAGGCCTCACACACATCACATATCAAAACAYTGCCCTTGGCTTTCTAGTACCGTTTGCCACCTCATGCATTACCAGCGAGATGAAAACAAAGCTTCTCAAAGTCTGCATTGCCTCGGCAGCCCCGTAGCTGCCAATCTTGCAGAGCAACAAGAGGAAAACTCACTGTTCTGCACCAGTGAACAYCCCCAGCCATAGAGCAGACTGCAAATGTTGAACCTAACGACRTAGACGTGTCTGCTCAGAAAGCCACTAGTACACGGGGGAAAAAGGCACGTGCATCCCAAACTGCTATCAACTCCACTGTCAAATCCTTTCATCCATCACATAACTTCCTTATGAACCTCAGTCTTTTCAAACCCACAGTAAACATGTTTCAATACATTGCAGTTTTCAAACATTATAAAAAGAACAGGAGCTTTATTTAGCCACTTCCTCTGAGAAGAAATCATTTCTTCAGAAAGAGAACTGAAGTTGGTATTGTGATCTATCAAGAACTTCTTCAAAACCAAAACTCTCACACACAAAGCACACGGCTTGTCAACTGTGCAGCAGCATAGTATGTTTTAATAGCTTGAAGGTTTCCTCATATATTCCATTTTTCCACCTCACACCATTAAATTTAATTACRTAACAATGAACTTGTGCCTCTATATAACATACTGGCCTGCAGTCACGGTAACCACCTCCCGGGTACAGCGAAATTTTACAAACACATTTGAWAAGACAGAATATATCATGAAACAGTATTATATCTTAGAATCAAAGGAGCTTGAGTTTTGTCCCTATAGTATAGGATAAAGAAGAAAATCCTTCAAGGAAGGGGAAGCTCCAAGGAAATCAGTGCTGACTGAATGTCRATGACAGCACAAACTACTGGGAACAGAGCAGTCAAAACTTTCTCCATCATTTTCCAAGTTTTAGAAATACTATAACTTAAATAAGAAAAAAGGAAAGAATTGTCTTCCTGGGGTCTCTGCAATAAGCTACACGTTTAATGTTCTTTTTTCTCCATGGAAAAGAGAAGAAAATGGTTCAATATTTTCAATATTACTYAAAAGAAAATGTAAGCACAACAAGCCTTGACTCTTTGACTAACTTTCAGGAGTATTAAAAGAAGACASATGAGTAACTTGCATTTCAGCCAGATTTGCATATGTACATATGTTAGCGGAAAACTGAGAATTTTCAGGTATTAGAAGGTAAAAAGTGAATGTTTTGAGATCGTATCAAAATAATCCCTATGTAATGCACATTATCTTATCAAAAGTCAGTGTGCACCAGGACTGCAAAGCCTGTAACCTACACAGTAAGGTTTCCAGCAATCCCATTGAAAAGCTGTTGTTGCTGGAACAACAGAGACTTCTAATCATTTAGCAATCATACCTCAGTTAGGTTTGATGTCCCTTTGTGCTGCCATTCAAATAAAAAAAAGTGTTGCTATCGATCTGAGCACCTTAGAGAGGTGCCGAGTCCAAACTTATAACCCCATGTAATAAAATGAGGCAAAAATATTCTAAACTCTAACTAGCAAAAATCCTGAAATTTTCTCAGGAAACAAAAAACAGTTCTACGCCATGAACTGCAGTTATGCACAACGATAACACTCAAGTCTGACGCTTACCCAATCATTGCGTTTTCTTTCATCTGGCTCTCCGTGCCATTTACCATGGGCTCCTGATTTCTGTTTTCCTTCTCTGAAGCATCACTTGAGAGGCCCAACAGAGCGCGTACCCGTTTTGACTTTACATCCAATATCGTATCAGTGTAGCCCACTTCTTGCAGGTACCTGCAGGGACACAAACCATGGTCATCTGCCGGGCATATCTTGGTTGTTTACTCAAATCCATAAATAAGGACGTCTCTCCAAACTCTTCTTCAGCAACTTAGCTTGGCTAAGGATGGTGCTGGGCTAATGTAACATGCTAATAAATTATCCTGTACCAGCTGCAGAGGGTTTGTCTCTTGCAGTACCAGTCTCTACAGTCTCGAGAAAAATAAATAAATAAACAGATAAAATCAAAGAGCCTAGCAGTCAGAGGTTATACAATACGTTATTCATGCACTTACTAAAGTGGATGGAAAAGGACTTTCAATTAAAACATTTACCAGTTTACAAAAATCGCTAGGGATGCATACACAACATAGTCATTTTATTCTTCAACACACAGAAACCAAACATGAAAAAAAACAATTGTCAGATATATTTCTTAAGAAACTATTTTCTAAAGTCTGGAAAACCCAGCGAATAAAAACAAATTCTGTAGMGGCAACAGAAAAAAAAATGTTTTTATAACACACAAAGCTTGATATAAATTTAGCCTTGCCTTTTTGTTATTGGCAGAATATTCATTTATCTTTCTGCTACTGGCCTGGAAGACGACAGACTGTGACTATCAGTCTAGGAAACAAGGCATATGCAGGGAAAGCCTGACTTTCCAAGTAAAGGTGCAATTTTGGGACCGCTTTAATTTAAACTGAGGGCTGCACCTAAGCAAAARCATACAGGAATGGCACTAATACCCTTGAAAGTGAATAATTCCTTATAGCTACCATTCAAAAATTAATCTAACAGACATTTGTTTCAATGATAAAAACTGTGAATTAGAAAACAAAATATCCTTCTAGTCTAACTTTCTGGACATTGGTGTTTTGTGCATCCAGAGCAAGCCAAAACAGAAAAGTTACCCCCGCCCCAATCCCACTAATTTATATTCTAGACAGTTCTAAACAGAATTACTTGTGCATGTTGTTTTGGTTTTAATTGCAAAAAGACCTGAAAGACTCATCACACAATTATTCTCTTAAGCACATTGTTTTATTGTACTCAATGAATGGAAAGCAAGTAAGATCTTTTCGTTTCACAAGATTTTTCTTTTGAAGTTCTGAAACATTTTTCTTTTTTTTAAATCTAGGAATAGTTGGGAAAAAGCTGAATTAAATCCATCACACTAACCTTGTTTTAAAGAAAATCTATTAGAAAAATCAAATACGACCATCAGCACATGATGTTGCCAGATTCTTTCCCTTCCATTCTTTATTCAAATCTTTTTTCAGAACTTACTGTCTTAGGAGCTGCCGTCCTTGTTTCCATATTAGCTGACTGTTTGGTTGCGGCTGAATCTCTGTTTCATTCCCTTCATCTGGAAAAGATTATTATAAACATTTTCTAGCTTGTCCTAGTATTAAAATGTCCATCCATTAAAAACAAAAAAGCAAACAAAAACACCACTTTGCCTTAAAAATTAGTAGGAATGGTTTAACAATGAAAGTTCAATGCTTCAAAAATGAAAAGACATGCACAGTATATGCAATACTAGCTACGYGTAACAAAAACTGTCTGGTACCGCTGCTGTATGACAGCAGGATCTGCAAGTCACTAGTGTYTATCTGGCACCCTAGGCAAAAATCCCCAACTTCCTCTCTTTTCCTTCAGGGAATACAAGCATTTGAACAACCTGGAGTTTGGTACCTGCGTGAGCCATTCCAAATGATTGCTGCTCAGAAAGCTAAGTTTGAACCTGAACAGCTTTGTTAACAATATCCACTACAACTTCTACATGATACCTGTTTATTATCCGATCGATTTCCTTTGTATCTGACCATACAACATGTATCCATCAGACCTAATTGCATAAATTTATCCATATTTGTATTACTTTTGTGGAAGAAACACACACACACAYAAAAAAAAAGGAGTTTGTTTCACTACTTTTTCAGCCTGATAAGCTAGCTGCTAAACAATTTTTCCATGTTTTCTACAAGCACAATTCTGGATCCAGACAACATTGTTCTATGAAACTACACATATGCACATAMACACACAAAAATCATGTGGCTGTTCTATTCCAACCAACAGATTTAGCCCATACATAGTTTCATACTACATGCTGGTTTTGGTTTGTTTGTTTTCCAGGGAAGAGGCTAACAAATATAAGCACATGCTTCCCAAGATAAAGGATCTTGGTTTATTWTCTACAGAAGGCTCTGCAAAATTTGAAATCCTTGTGGTCAAAACATAAAAGGAGGAGCAGAGTCATGTTGCATAAACAAAAATTGAGAACCAGAAAAACCTGTGGTGCGGTCCTATGAATAACCTGATGCGTGACACAAGAAAGTTACTCTGCCTAATTGAGACACCCTTCTCCCCTCAAAAAGAAGCATGAAAAAATAAAAAATAAAAAATAAAAAAAAAACCCAAAAAAAACCTGTCCCAGATTGAAAAAAATTCATGTAGAGATTTTATATGCAATTTTATGTGAACCTTGTGCATTTTATCCACCTCAAAATCACAAATCTCTTCAATAGTAACTGTGGGAAATAATCAATTGCACAACCATCTTTTGAATACAAGCGAGCACAGCTGGATCCAGCACACAACTGTCAAAGCTCACTCTATATAGGAACTAAAGCAAGAGCGGGACAAATCTGATCTAAAATTCCTTTGGCAAGTGAAAAACTTTCCTCAAAGACACTGCTAAGGTTGAGAATATCCACAGGTAAGAATTCTCATCTGCTTAGTCTCCGCAAAGCCGATGACAGCTCGTGATGACAGTGGATTACAGGMGAGGACAAAAGGACTTGTGTTACGAGCATTTACTGGCAGATGATCTCATGAAAGGGAGAAAAGCGATATCTGTTAATCACRAGATTATTCTCTTCCTACAGAACTGTACTCGTAGGCTCCCTGAGAGATCAGAGGGAAGGCCAACACCAAGGCCTCACTTGGAAGTATTGCTAGAAATATTTTTCAACATTTATTCTTGCTGGGGCAAGGGGAGTTGTGGGGAAAGGACGAGTGTCTACTGAGGATGACTCTAAAGCAGCATAACAACAACGTCTCTCCCCTAAATCCACGTATTTCAACATGGTAGATCCGATACACAGCAAAAATGTTATCAGCCTGACTTCACTGATGTCCCCTTTGCAGAAGGGCTGCCCTGGCACCAGCCCTGCATCACAGCTCCTCAGCTGCAACCTTGGGCCACACGCCAGAGCTGCATCCTCAGAAAACAGGCAGACAGGGAACATGAGCTCGGCGCAAGCACAACAAACTGTATTTGTGGTCCAGATACAGACAGGGGTCTGCGACTTGAGTACAGGAAAACCCAGTGTAAAGTTTCATCAGATAGCTTTCTTTTACCTTTTATTTTTATTTTTTTTTTAAATCACATTTCAAATCCAATGAGATAAAGAGCTACCATGACAGTAAACCTGCCCATCCCTTTCAGAAACCAAATGACAAGAGTTGAAATCTGAGACTGTCTATATTCTTCTTTAATGGTGGTTCCAAGGTTTTTTTTCTGGCCATCTCAAAGACTTGACCATACCCATATTCCTTTTATTTAATTCCTTTTAAATGCAGGAAAGCGCAGGAGGTAGAAGGAGAGAAGAAACAAAGTAATTTCAGTTCCTTATACCTCAGGGCTTAAAAAAAAATTCTGCAGCAGGAGATGCAACCTCTGGAGAACCAATTGTGCTTTCCAGAAACTGAGGTAAAAAAGTTGTCCTGTCACAGCACATCTCTGAAGGTGGTTGCATGCATTCCCAACGGCCACTGTAACTTTACAAATACATTCCCAAATCCCAGATTCTCACTTACTTCTGTTTTGTATTCCCATTATTTTTTTCCTGGAATCCAGCTGAGGTAAGTAAACTATTTTAACTCTATACACTGCCACTGCTCTTAATGTCCTCTGCCGTTGGCTCTTTCATCTGAACAATTATTCATAAATAAAAGGATTCCTATAGCTCTAAATCCACTAATTCCCTGCTCAAAAATACTCCTTCAAATGACTTAGAGAAAGATCTTTCTCTTTAGTAGCAATAATTGTTCCTTTTTCTTTTTTTTTTTAAACTAATTTGATCTATTAAGAGATTTTAAAGCATTATTTTTTTTTATTTGAAGTAATTTTTAATATTCATTCTACCATTAATATCTTAAGAAGCATAACAAACAGCACTGCTAATATTTGCGTCTTACAACTGTAAAATATGACCTTCATTAATTATGTCCATTTCCACTATTTCCATTAAGCAGCTTATTTTATCAACACTACCATTTCAGCACTTGCACAAACATGGTCAGCAACAATCTCATCTTCAATAAATTCTTACCAGAATCATAGTTTGGTGGCTTCATATCTCCCTGATTCAGTTCTGTGCCATATTTTAGTTTGTGATATTTAGCCCTGAAAGAAAATAAAAGAAAAACAAAGAAAAATAAAAACAAGGGAATCTATTAGCACATTTAAAGGGTATCTGTAGAATCATAAACGCCAACTGTCCTCACTTAAAAAAAAAAAAAAAAAGCTACTCCTAGAACAAAACAAAACAGTAAACTAAGTAATTTCAGCAGAATTGAAGAAACAAAATTCTTTGCCTAATTACTTTTTCCCAGAGATTTGCAAGCATTTGCAAAGTGAATAATGATAAAACACTCCGATGCTAGATTTTACATACTGGTTTTTGGTACAGAAAAGGTTCCTTCCTCATGGACATGTGCTGCTCTTGCTTCTCCCATTTTCTCCACTGTCACTCAGCAACCAAACACCTTTGTTTTAGTCTTCAAAACGCTTTGCTTTCCAACAAAAGCAAGCTGTAACCTAAATTTAGGTTCCAGCAACCACAGAGGTCCATCTATAAGTTTCTCAAAGTTGCTAAATTGCTTTGTCTGACTGCTTTTGAAAGGGGAGATTTTTCTTCCAAAAATATTCAGCCTACAGAAGTAAAACCATAATAAGCGTCGCAGATCATGCTCGACGATGGCACCAAGTGCAGCTACAAGAGCTGCATCCTGCAGAGTCAGAGCCCATAGACTTTTAGGYCCACAAAATAATGCCACAGCAGTCTGGCATTACAGATGCACATATAAGTTATTTAAAATGATTCATCGCAGAAAACAGAAGCCTGTAATGCCATAACAGAGAGAAAAAATGAGGTAGAAGGAGCCTGGTGCAGTTTCTCTGTCGCTTCCACTCTCCCACTCACAATAACTTCTGACAGYATCATTGATTTCAGGCAAACACCAATGCTTAGAGGACTCAAAAATGTCTCCCACAGAAATTCATAAATGTAGAAAAGTAGTCCTGGTATTAGTTCTTTTCTTGAATATCAGCCACCACGAAGAAAGGAACCACACAAAAGTATTACTAGTGGCAAATGATGGGAAGAAACATTTTGGTTGGGGTAGAAAATAACCAAGAATAGAACAAACTTAAAGCTGGACACCCAATATTTAAGTATTTAACTTCCCTCTTTCAATTACTTGTTTCCTACATCTCACAAGCAGGGAGATGTAGGAATCCCCAGGCTGCCACCAGTCTAACTTGCCAACTTTAAACACTGCATTTCATCAAATGCATAAAGGCTTGAAAGTCTTTATGCAATTGAAGTGATGCTAATACTTAATCCATTTTAACCATCTTGCAAAAATGAGCAAGTATAATAAAAAAATTACTCCTCAGTCACAGGTATTATAAAGTCAATTCAGCAAAGCGAGATTATTCATTCCCTCCACATTCTAATCTAACAGGAGTACAGTTGGGTTTTGAATTGGTTCCTTCCCCTAAAGGAATAGTTTTTAAATCTTTTTTTATTTTTCCTTCCTTCAAAAAGGATAACCTAGATTACAGAGTCTTGTATGTCACAGGCCTTTAAATTTATTTCATGACTAAGGTCATCTAAGGTTTCATCCTTTAGAAGATTTAAATTTGTGTGTCACAGGCAGAGACTCGCAGAAACAAGAGACCCATCTGAAGCATAATGTCCTTGCAAAGGCAGACAGCTGAATAACTGACAATCTCAAAAGCAATCCCTATTTTTAACATGACAGGGAAGCTAAAAAATAAAAAGGTAGAGTCCTTTGCCTGCAGAAGTGACAGAAAATCCAACGCCAAACTCAAACCTCAGGACTCATTAGTATGAATTCAAGTATCTGAGCTCAACATCAGCTAGATGTGAAACAGGGTCAYGAGCACCACATCAGAGAACCTGACRTGGGGAGCCCATCTCCAGCTGCGGTCAGTCTGAAGCTGAGAGAAAAATCAAAAAATATGTACTTAGAAACATCAGACCTAGCCAACGCTGCATGAGGGAAACAAATTTCTGTGCTCCTGCAGGAAGCAAGAATGAGATTTAATTTTAGGAACTTTCTCATGGTAGAGCTGAAAATGTCACACATATGAAAGACAATCCTCCTCTTTCTAAATATACTAAGGAAAGAGATGAACAGAAGGATTCAGCCTCTAAGTCCAGAGAGAARACCTGATAATTCAGTTTCACATATTGTGATCAAAGGATAAGAGATTTCTCACAGAAGAAATACATACCTATATATTTTTATATATATATATACACACACACACACACACCCCTCCTTAATATATCTTATTCTCCTAGCAGTTTTTTTTTCATTTGCAGAAGAGTTAGAATGTGTTTTATTCGCTTCATTAGTTTATAGTTATCTATTTCTACCCCAATCTAATTGCTTCCCCACTTTCATGCTTAATTTCTCTGTTATCTCTGGACTTCTAAGTATGAAGAACTTGCATTTGACCCTGCAGAGTTCACACTGAACTCTAGTTCAGACATCCCAGACATGAGACAATGTCATATCATGACCAATTGCAACTAAACTATTTTTCCCCTATAAATAAGCATATAAAACAAACAAATCTCCTGTAATCTTTTTATCATCCAGGCAAAAACAAGGATGATGGGTTTGGTTTTTTTGAAGGGGAGGAGGGAAAGGGAGAGGTTGAAAAGGAAGAAAAAATACAGTAATGTGTTTCATTACCTGAAATTTGTTCAATCTTGATGATTTAATTTCAGTTTCTAAAAATGAAATCTGCAAAATCATCTGTGCAGATGATGATGCAGGGAATGAAAAACTACTTGAAAGCAAGTAGCTTAAGGTCACACAGCTTCATGGGAGTCACCTCCCTTTTGACAATTGGCTTTGTGAGTTATTTGGAAGAAAGCTATTTTTGGATTGTCAAACAATGTTACCAGGTAGCTGTGGTTACTAAGATAGGATAAATAGTGCAACTGCTCTGGTTGTTGCACTTCATTACATAACTCATCTTTTTTTTTTTTTTCTTAATTATTTTCTTTAATCCACGTCTGCTACACAAACACGAAGACGTGAAGATATTCAACACTGCAACGTTTGAAAAGCTGCTGAAAATATCGCCAAGAGCTTTGACCCTTGTGAATTTCTTTCTCAATACTTTGCATAGGAACAAATTCAATTCCAATCAAGAAAGGCCGCTCTTTCTTGGAAATATCTGTCACCAGACCTGAAGCATCTGATCCAGCTGTGCTGAGGGAGCCTGCCAAAACATCYGTGGAAGATCTAGGAGCCGCCGCCAGAGCCGGAGACGTAAACAAGAGGCACTGCCAGGAACAGCACTGCGAGATACCGCGCGGAGGGGAAGGCGCCAGCCTCCCTCTCACCAGACACTCCAGCGCAGAAAACATCATCAAATCACATCAAGTGTTTCTGGAGACGTGGTCAAGAGTCAAGTTCGTCGGGTAAAATATGTTAAGGCAGGAAATGAGCTAGACTAGACTACTAAATTAAACGTGTAGTTGAGAAAGATAGCGCTACATTTCAGTTTGCTCCTGAAAATCCAGAGGAAACAATGCAGTTTACTGGGGATGAAGTAAGTATTGATAAAGCAATAAAAAGTAACCCTGAAGTATGAGCGACAAGCTCACACTGCGATCTGCTGGATGTGTACAAAACTACAGCAAAACTGCTGTCAAATAAATGATCCTTCTTAATAATTAACTACCTGCGGGTTCCTCTCTGATGAGTGTGTTGAGACTCTTCAGCAGGAATAACCGGGTTTCCAGACACAAACAATGCAAAGGGAATCTCACCGTGACCGGCATAGTGACTGAACATTACAGTCAACCACATTTGTCAGAAAAAAACAAAGATGACTCCCAATAATCCTCATTTTCTATCTCTCCCACTATATAAGTGCCATGAAACGAAGAACAATGACCACTTGTAAAGTTTCTTATTTATAAGGACTGAAAAAAAAAAGAAGTGCTAAAGACCCACTAGACAGAACAGTGATGGGGAAAAGAAATCCCACACGTTTGAGAAAAAGAGTGTCATTAATCTCCTGCTCCTGGTTTCCCGAGGGAGCTGCCAAGAGGTCCCAGTGGCCTGTCCTGTCCCAGTGCCAGTCACCGGCTTCTCCCATCCAGCAAGGGAAGACTTGGAGCATGGAGAGGGCAGGGCAGAAAGGAAGGAATGCGGGAATGCGCCCTTGTCCCCCGCCACACAAACCCACCACAAATGCCTTTCTCCTACCTCGGAGGACCCCAATTTTCACCTCTGAGATGCCCAAAGGGACCACGTGGCCCCCAGCCGCCCATGGGTTGACCAGGCCGATGACTCGTTTAGGGAAATGGTGGGAATAAGAGCGAGGCTTCCAAGCACAGATTCCTGCCATGTCTTTAAGGATCAAGTAAGAACACTTGTTGGGAGACATTTCCAGCAGGAATACAAGACTGTTTCTCCAGTAACTGGCGAACGGAACTCTTGTTTAAAGCCACAAATTGCTATAAATATTTGTGTTCAGCACACACCATTCATGAGCATTAGATTTACTTAAAAAAAGGGGGAAAAAAAAAAAAAAAAAAAAAGAAATGATTATATAGCCATGCAGGTCAACTGTCAAACTACATCAGAGCAGCTGAGTGCATCACTTTGCAATGTGAGCAACCAGGGCTAGCAACCAGATATCGCAGAAAGAAGTGCAAGAAAAATACGACATATATGTAAACACTGCTGCTAAGAAATCACAAGGAGTTATCCCTTAATCCTGACCCTGACTGTATGCATGCTTAAACCCTAGGATTTCAATGCCCAATTTACTGTGGATTGTAGTGAATGCAACTGAAGGATAATTTTATTATTGATACAGAGTTTTTTTTCTTTTTTAATCTTACAAAGCTCTCAACTTCTCTAATAGACCTAGGAGAGTTATGTACTCTGATAATTTTGAAGGAATTCCCTCCTAATTTAACACAATTATTGCTTTGAAACGCKAGGGATTTCTCTAGGAAACCAGGAAGAGCTCCTTTATTTCTGAACTACAAGAGCAGAAATCTAAGTGTATTTATATTCCTCAGAGCACATCTTTCACTGCACAAGAACATGCTCCAGTGCCCCTGTGTCTTCATTCAGAGTGACTCCAATCTTTACGATGGCTCCACAAAYGCAGCCCTTTCCATGGCTGGAAACTGCCATCCCCATTATGCATGTGTTCTGTATCCCTCCATGCCACGTGATACAGAGCATCAAACATCAAACATAACACTGCCAAAGAGCAAACATCAAACACAACATTGCCTGGGCAAGTYGGGAATCTACCTTGGGTGTCCATCCAACACTCCCCTGAAGGGAGGGAAGGCAGCTGGAGCCCTGGGGCTACAGCCATCCGGAAAAGCAGGAGCAGCTCCGTGCCAGGGGGATGAAGCTACTGGAAAGGCCAACTTGGCTGGGGTAAGGGATGTCTCGCGTGCCAAAGCCACCAACATATGACAATAACCAAACCTAACTCTGGTTCAGTACAGTGCTATGAAACAGAACTCTCAAAGTCTGTTTTCTAGCAGCAATATCCTAGTCTTCCTTACTCTGTAGTTCTCATCTTACTTGCAGTAATACAAAAATATTTAAAAGATTTTAAATGTAATTACTATTCGATCCGAAAGAAGTAGGGACTCTCTGATAGAAAAAATGATACATCAGTACTGGCTGCTTTGCAATAGTTCCTTGACTACATCCTACAGTCAAGGATTTTTAAAGACACTTTACAAGAAACCCAGCTCTAAAATAGATCAGGAGAACAGAAAGGCTTTTGGAAAAAGCTTTAAAAAAAATACTTTTTTGGCTTGAAGATGAGCATAATAAGAGAATATACATAARACTAAAGAAATAAAATAGTAGTAGGCTGGAAGCTTCTGCTGAAATTCTGCTGAAATTGAACAAATAAACAGATATTCAAATAACTCATAAAACACAATCCATTCTTTGCACAGGCAACCTCCAGAAGATATTCTTGTACAAACTATCACAGAGATAAGGATAAAAGTTTAGCAAGATTAAAATCTAGTAATTACTATACTCAAAGCAGTTTCAGCTATTACAAACTTCAGTTATTAGATATATTAAACAAATCTAGTACTTTGAACTAAGAATACATGGTGAATTTGGGGTATGAACTACACAGGTTTAAAAAAAGTACAAACGAGTACATCTTTGGGAACCATATTATGTTAACTACTGTTTCACCAGAATACAGAACATTCCACCAACTAGATTATTCAGCACAACAACTTCCAGGTAAATAGTTGTCGATTTGGATCTAAATGCACACAGAAGAATTATTTCTTGTTTGTGTTAAATAGAAAGGCAAAAGTATCCACCTTTAGAACATCTGCCCGGCGTACTATTATTAAAGCAGTGTATACCTTTCTTGTTTAAGCGCATATTCCAGCATTTTGATTCTCCGCACTAGATCCTTCTTCAGATTTTCTTGTCCCTTTCTTTCACCCTGAAGGAAGGCAATCTGGGCCTGCAAGAGACAGTGTCAGACTTAGAAAAACTCAGAAGTTAACACGCTGCATCCTCAAAACCATTCCACATTGTTCGGAAGTGGCTTTGTTTTCCCCKAGTTATTTTTGTATTGATTTACAAAGTCCAGAAGCAGTTCACGCAGCACGTTTCACAAACATTAGACATTCAAACTGCGGGCTCATTGAGGATCCAAAAATAATACAGAGATAAAGAAAGGCAGCAACTCGAGGGGGACRGGGCTTATTTGTTCTCTAAACATTCAATCAAGGATAAGGAATAGATATAATAAGCACACAGAAAACTTCAGCAGACCAACGAACTTCATGAACCAAGGAAAGATGTGCAGGGAGATGGTGAAGCAGTTCTGCTTACTAGGGCAGATAAATCAGATACATGATACTAGTCTCAGGACTGAAGTACAGCAAGCTGAGCTAAATATATATATATATATATATATATATATATATAWAATCTGTTACAGAGTACTAAGCATTTGTGGTAATATTTACTGAACTTGGTTAAAGAAAGGTTCACAGAAACAGTGAGTAAAAAAGGGAAACAGRGAAAGGTATTTTGGTCAGGGAAAAACAAGAGAAATCACACGGAGGTAAATAAAAGTCCAGGAAAAGCCCAGACGGACACTTAACCTTCCTTAACTTTCAGAAAATAAGAAAAACCTGCATTCCAAAAAAATGATGATATAAGCAAGATACTCGCTCTTTATCACAAAGGCAGAACTGCCTTTGTACCTGATGCTTAAATCAGGTCCAGGAGAAGGGCAGCCTGGTCCTCGTGCTTTCCCAATCCCCGAAATCCAGACTTATCCCAACCCGCCCATGGGCCGTCACRGCCGCCCGTGTCAGCCGTGCTGGCACTGCAGGCTGCCGGCCACCTCCAGCAGCAGCAGGAGCCTCCTGACAGCTTTTCTGGCAAGTCCCTAAAAATATCTCTATCTCCTTTCCTGCAAGGCATCCACAGGATAACAGACCGTTGGCCGAGAACATGAGCTGCTACATGGGAAGACCAGGACRTGTTTTATTCACACGAACTAGCATTTGGGGATTGCAAGCTCGGTGTTTTCTGCAGGTACTAGAGCCTGCASCAGCCGCTCAGGGAAAGCCTGCAAGGAACAAGCAGCAGGAGCCTCTCCTCATCCGACACGTTCTGCCCTCTCACTCCAACAGGACTTCTGCAGGTGACCAACTGCAGCTGCTTTAAAACACGATGCCAGTTAAAGCAATTTCAGCACTCAAAATAGTGTCAGTAATGAGTCTGACAGATACCTGAAAAATCCTTAACTGCCAGTTACCAACTACAGTGGCCAGCTTAGGAGAAGGAAAAAACACCAGTCGCTCCAGTGAAGCTGGTCTTCATTTCAAGTTGGTCCTCATGAAGTTAGTCTTCATCTCAAGTTGGTCTTCATTTCAAGTTGGTCTTATTTGTGGAAACGCATTTGGCTTCCAGATCAATCTCAGCTGCCTGAAAGGAATCTGTCTTTCAAGGGCTGGGCTTTGTCACCCCAGCACTGAGTGTCTCCTCGCTTTACACGCCCACCAGGATGGGCAGAAAACTGCACTTGATTCYAACACTGATTTTATACCTGGACATGGAGAAACACGACGCTGCTTTTGGAACCATTCCTTCCCACGCTGGAAAACTGAACTGTGCCAGAAGCATTTCAACTGACCCAAGTCCCCATTCCTCTCAGCAACCAGAGGAGCACTCGAGGTCGATGCTATTGACTTTGTCAACAGCTGTACAGGTGCCAGGAYTACAGCTCACACACCAGGTATTTTTTCTACCCAAACAGGCCCAGCAGAAAGAAACAAGTGCCTTGCTCACCAAGAGTGATAGCATGCAAGCACATTGGAGAGAAAAAAAAAACTTAAAAAGCAGAATTTTATGTAAATTCCATGTGGGACACAACAAGGGGCCAACAGCAGCACCCAGCYAGGGCCGGGGCTCTCCAGGAGGGAGGGAAGGAGCTTAAACACGCCCTATACAAAGGGAAACACAGGGCTTGGGAGCAGCCCTCATAGATCAATCACATGAGAGACAGACAGAAATGCACTTGATAAGACTAGCAGACACCTCCTTGATGCTAAAATCGGCAGTCCTTCACTGCATGCCTCAGATACAAATACATATATATATGTATATGTTTCTGATACAGTCTAGTTTGACTAAGCATATGAGAATCAAAAGTTAAAATTATTACCAAAAAGTTCTTACACGTGTAAAATAATGAAAATAATTTTCCTAACTACCTCTGGTGAAAAAAAGCATCTCTTTTCCAAGATTCTGCACGAAAGAATAGGATTGTCTCGTATCTCTTTTGGGTCACTGGAATACTATTTTGTATTTTATATATATTTATATATATTTATATTATGTATATGTAATGTAATACAACATACAATGTTATATATTACACAGGAAGTCGATTAGAAGAAATATTAACAGACGTTTGGCATATCACTGAAGATAAAAGATGTCTAATGCTGTTACTGGTGTCTTGCATTTTTTTTGTTGCAAGATTTGCAAGAAATGCTCTCATTTGTCACTCAAAAACCTCAAAACACAAGAGCAACAGAAGTGGCCAGTGCCAGAGCTGTTCGTGCAGCCTCGCTCCATCTCACTGTCCAGGAGCTTTCAAGGTTACTGGATGCTCTAGAGAGCAGAAGTTTTATTGCCAAGCCAAGAAATGGGCAAGTGCAGTACAGGGCTTGAGGATAATTTGTGGCCTCTCCACAGAGCCCAAGACGTTCCCACATTTCCCCATGTCCCTCTTAGAGGAGAGCCCTCACATCCAACACACTATTTCTGAGCGATTCTGGCTCTGCATATGGGAATGCTTTCATTTTTACAATACACAAAAATAAGGGGCCTGCTCCTCCTCTTTCTCACAGGACGCTAACAACCCTAATCCCCCAGTTGCACAAATATCCACTAATTGCAATTAAATAAGCCTCAGAGGACAATGAAACATGAATTATGCATGTAAGCTCCGAGTTTTATGCCACTATTTAACAAATTCTTACCAAGATTAAACTACAACGCACATGAGGACAGCGTTCAGAAAGTAACTGAAATCCTCCCTTAACCACACTACTGTCACAGCCTACATCAAAAGCCTACTTTATTCTTGGCTTGTTTGGCAATTAACTGAAATTATGCAGAGGAACCTGAATGTTTATAACTGAAAACTGAATAAATGTATTAAAGTTATAAATGGAAAAAAAAACAAGTGGCGATTGTGGCGAAAAATAATGTGGCGATAACCGTAGGTCCATCACGTATGGACGTGGAAACGAAACGGTGGGGCCGGTGGAAGGCGAGAGGCCGCGGCTCACACGGAGCGGAAGGCCCCGGCCCCGGCCCGCGCTGCCCCACGCTCCGGCTGTGGCCTCCTYGGAGGCCGCCCAACAATCCCAGGAATCTGCCGAGATTCCCGGCACCAGCCCTGCGCCCCAGCTCCCGTGCTCTGTCGCCCTAAAGACCCTTGTGTTACGGGCTGCAACCGAGGATGGAGGTTTCACATGGACGGGGCCTAAACTAATGGTAAAGTGAGGAGACCAACTATTTCACATATTTACGGTGAAATTTTGAAGCTATAATCCACTTTTAACAATAATAATAAAAAACACGCTCTCACATACAATAACGTGTTAAGTTTTAGAAGATTTCCAGGAGGCTCTGAAGGTCACATTCCTGTGAAGGGATGGCACTCTTCAGTGAGGGTGAGGCAGTACTTTAGGTGGCACGGGGTTACAAACAATGTTTTAAGAAAGTTGCTGCCTCTCTAAAACACGTTTTAACAGTCATTTAAAAAAAATCAAAAATATTTGAGGCTTTACAACTTAAAGACTTCACTACTCTAAAACTGAACCTTATCTTCCCTACAATCATCATCCCCAGTGATACTGCTGTGACATGTATGCTGTATTTGCATGCCTTTGTACAGTGAAACCGAGACATCACAGAACGAAAAAAAGTATATTTACCTTATCAGAAAAAGTTTAAAAGAAACCATGTCACAAGTTATTCAWGTTTAGTGTTAACTTCTATCAACTTATGACTTTTAAAGTTACTTCATCTTAAAAGATGATCTTTCAATCAAGATGCAAAATTACATATGAAAGGCATTGCCATTCTCCTCATTAAAATATTTACCTGAATATTATAAAAATGCCTCACTTTTCAAGGTTATGGGCACCTGAAGGTCAACAGAAGTCATTCATCAARATTAGCATTGCTATTGCTACAAAGCCAACGCAATCCCGCATACGCTGCTCCCGTAACTCAGTTAAACTGGGTGGAAGCCAGGGCGGGAGAGACGGAAGAAGGAAAACCTCTGAGAAAGGTATTGCCAAAAGCATGTGAAGGGCTGAAATAGCTGAGGGGTGACAGGGGTGACTGAGACCCGGGCAGCAGCTCCAGCCGGGAGGTGCCGGCGAGGAGCCGGGAGCCGGAGCGGGAAGCAGGGACCAGGCAGCTCCAGCACGGTGGGAACAGAAGGTGTCGGGGCCGCCTGCAAGCGGCGGCGGCACTGAGAAACACTGAAACTCCCCCATAAACGGCCTTTGGGTCCCAGGTCCTCCGGGAGGAGCGGCCAGCGGCTTTTCCGAGCGCCTGCAGCCGCCCGCGGGACTGCGCAAGCCCCAGGCAGGGCCACGGAATTCCCATCCATCCCCAGCACGGAGAGCGCCGAGGACCAGGCACCCGGGGGCTTTCAGCAGGAGCTAGTGAATTATCCCTGCGCTCAAGCAARCGGCTTGCCCTGTATTTCCACGCTGGAAACACAGTGCGCAGGACGCGCCGCTTTACGGGGCCAGCAAACAGCACACTCGGCTACGGGCAAAGGGGTTTTGCTGAAGTTCTCAGAGGCGCCTCGAAACTGGCATCTGCCCGAGGCATTTAAAGAGCTGGGCCACACAAAAGAGATCAAGCATTTAGCCGAATAATAAAAAAAGGAAAAAAAAAAAAAGTGGGGAAGTTACT